GTTGTTTGCGCACGTTTTAATGGTCACCTATTCATATAAACAAATGTGACAACTCAGCTTGTGACGGATCAACAGTAACCTTTTACGACATTGTTCGAGTAGCTAAACACCTTTTTTTCCGCCTACCAGAGGCGCTTCAAACGCGTGTGATCACCTTAGTGGCGTTTAAGGCCCTTAAATATAACGCTCTCTCTTTGTTTCTGCCGCCGTCGTTATTTGATTGTGGCTGCAGTTGCAATCAGTGGATTCCACTTTGGAAGCTGACTGGCCGTAATATTTTTTTTTCAGCTGTTGAGTTGGACGAAACGGGTTTCGCAAAGCTCGAAGACGTCGCGGAGCCTATACTCTTCCATTGCGTCGTCTGCTTCCGTAGACTCCGTGTCCGCTAGAGGCGCCACTATCACATTCGTCGCCACTCCAATGGGTTTTCGGAGGAGTTTTCAGTATTGGCGAAGCTATAACGTATTTCCTAGGGATGTTCTCTAAGTATAGAATAGCTAATGATATCTTGAGCGACTGAGGATCTAATTTGCCTTCAGAGCTCATGAAGGATGTTAGTAATCTATTATCATTCAGACGGTTGTTGACCACGCCATATCATCCCATGTGCAACGGAAGTGTTGAGCGATTTTAATGGCACTATTAAAGGGGCGGTGCAATGGTTTTAACACTGAACGAATTTGCAGCTTGTATTTTTTATATTGTTTACTTCGGCATAAGTAAGAGAAAAAGTGCCACCATATCCCAAAATACCTCTATTTCGCTGCGTAATCGCAAAATAAAGAGCGCTTTTTTTCCCAACCTGCGGCTACATGGTGGCCGCAAATGGAACCTGTGGTGTGACATCACTCGGAGTGGTTTTTGTAAGTGATAGTGTTAGGCAATTGTAAGCTTGATTTAAGGTTAAGTTTTAAAAAATATTGTTGTTTAGGCATGCATAAACGCTTCAAAGGCCTAATATTGCCACTAAAAGGGTATGAATTATTTGTGGCTCCATCTACCGCAAGTCAACAAAACCTGCCGTCGCCGTCATCCGTCGACGCCCGAGGCGCCTACGGCGGCTACACGAGCAACCCGGACACCCGGACGTTTTGTCTTTCCCTCGCTCGACGGAGTCCGTTCGTCGTGGTCCGGGTATCGTGGTGTTGTTATCGTTCCTGGTTGCTCGACCTCGACTTCGACTTCGACTGCCCGCCGCGGCCGCCGGCGATGCCGACTGCGTGTTGTGTTCTGCTGTGCCCGAACCGTGACTTGAAAAGTCTACGGATCCGAGGCAAAAGTCTCACATATCATCGCCTCCCGCTCGAGGAACCACTCAGGAGTGAGTGGTGTCGGAGGATCGGAAGAGACCCTGGGAAGACAGACGTGCGCGTATGCTCCGATCACTTCGACGAGAATCGGGACTACCGTTGTATAAGAAGTATCCTTCGTGATGCCGGGCAGACGATGCCGAGAGCCCTCCTGAAGCCGGACGCAGTTCCTACTCTTCGACTGCCCCCGCGACGAAGCCTACCATCCCCCCAGCGAACGAAACAACGCTGAAACGTCGCAGAACTTTGGTAAGCGGCGCTTTTTTTTTCGTGAACGGTATTTACAGCAGAGGTTTTATCAGAAGTTTCGGTTTTCCAGGGTGATGAGCCGGTTGATGACCTGTACTGCTCCGAGGGCGACGCACCTCGTGAGCCTTGCGAGGACTGCTGCCGTTGCGGTCCCCGAGCAACCACACACGACGCAGCTGTTCAGACGTCCCCCTACAAAAATATGTATGGACGTCCTATGTCCATACTTTTGCCGTTCTATTACCTCTTTGTCCATCCTATGGATTCCTGTAGACAGTTCTTAGACCGTCTATGTACCATTGGTTTGCCACAGAATGGACACAAAAACGCTATAGAGATTTCGCGAACGAAAAAGTTTTTCATTCCTTCCTGTTTCCGTTCTATGGTCCCGGTGAGTCTATGGTCATCCTATTGCCTCTCTATGGTGTGAGCTATATAATAGGGCATTAACAAAGTGATGCCGGGTAGACGTTTTCTTTAGGTGTAGCGAGGTGTCCGAGTTAAAAAGTTGTAGAGGCATATCCAACCTCAGGGTACACTCATTGTGGAGATGGAAGTGTTTAGTATGTGCCGGAATAATGTTTTTACTTTCTCAGTGGGAGGTAGGTATATGTGGGTCGCTGCGGCCCCCGTAGATAATCGCAACTTTCACAACCCATAGTGGGCGCACTGGTGCCTATCAAAATTTGGGTCATCTGGATGATCGTCGTTACAAAGCGGTATATTAGGCTGGGTCTGCGCGCGACGCGTAAGTAATTGTAGTTTTGCTATATACGCGCAGTATCGGAGACTTACTTTATGTTGTTGTTTTTTTCACGTCAGGAAAGTGTAGGCAAGCCATTTTATTATGATGGCAATCATCCAGGAGCTAGGGAGTGCGATTCTCACACCGCGGTACCACCATCGCTTAAAGTGGCTTTTCTATGGACCCCGTAGGGACTCCGTGCAGACCCTGTATGGCTTCTCTGCAGACTCCATAAGGAGCCCGTGTAGACCCTGTATGGCTTCCCTGTGGACCCTGTATGGCTTCCCTGTGAACCCCCTACGTACTCCCTATAGACCTTGTATGGCTTCTTTGCAGACCCCTAAGGACCCTACACTCTTTAAAAGGACTTTTACACAGCACGTTTTTGCGTAAAAACAAATAGGGAAAAGCTCTTTTTGTAGAACCCTTTATTGGAGATCAGTACAAACTGACAAGAGCGTGATGTTTGCATACACTTTTAGCTTACAGGGTTTTGCGGCACAATTAATATTTTTGTTTACAGCCATGCCTCACCGGCGACTTCAGGTAGCGCGTCCCGAGTTGGGTGCGTCCTAACTTCGGTGGCAATTCGCGGCGTGTCCGCCTGGGAGACGGGGTTGGCATCCCCGAAACCCCTCTTCTACCGTATATGTTTCGGCGCCAAAGTGGCCGATTAAAGCCAAAGCAGAACAAACACATGCTGTCGAATATCGATAGTCCCAAACCAACACACGCAGTCGTGCAGTTATCCGAGTGGCCGCTGCGGGTGGAATGGTGGCGTTGCGATCGCAATTAGTTTGGTTTTCGAGTACAGATCGGGTGCCACTTTTTCAGAGCAAGCTCTTTAGCAGTTTCCCAACTGACTTGCTCTAGAAACGTTGGTCGGTGCGGACCCCATAGCAGACCCCCTGCAGACTGAGTGGCTTCTCTGCGGACCCTGTAGCGACTCCCTGTAGAGTTTGTATGGCTTTTCTGCAGACCCCATGAGAACCCTGTGTAGACCTTGTATGGCTCCCCTGTGGACAACCTAGGGACTCCTTGTAGACTTCGTATGGGTTTTCTACAGGCACCCTATGGACACCGTAAAGACCCTGTGTAGACACCCTATAGAGTCCCTATGGACTCTATATGGCGTCTTGCCATAGAGAGGGTATAGGATGACCACACATCATCCATAGAATAGGACGTCCATAGAACGTCCGTTGGCCAATATTCTATAGGGCAGCCATAGGACGACTTCACGGAGGCAACAGAGGTCGTGGTCCGCCTATAGATGCCTTTTGTCCTCCCTATGGACGCTGGTCTATAGAACGTCCTAGAAGTGTCCATACATATTTTTGTAAGGGTCTGCTGAGATCCCGAGGCCGCCTCAGCCGCCTGCCGTGAGAAACGCTTCCGTGGGAACAGACCCTCGGCGGGGAAAGCAGACCGTCGGTAGGCATAAAATTGGTTTGCTCTGTATGTTTATACAGCCTTTATGGAGATGCGTCTCAACGGGTAATCGGTCTCTTAGCTGTAGATGAGAAATTTAGCCAGTGCAGTACAGCCGCTAGCCTGGGGCTTTTAACGTGCATCACGCAGTAGTGATCACGCGAACGCGTGCCGGTAAGAAACTCATCCAGATCGAAACGGCGGGTATCGATCCAGGAGGTTCCCAGCGCAAGCTTTCGCTCCACTCCGAGCTCAGACGCGTTAGCCCACTCGGGGCATGAAACTGGAGCAGCCTTCATTAGTTTACTTGACGTCACGTGGTAGATTAAAACGATTAAAATATGTTCATGATTAGAGATTAAAACAATTAAAATATGTGCATGATTAGTTCCATATGCCATTATATTGTGCGCTTTATCGATAGGATGACAATGAAATCGTGAGCGATCGAAAGCGTCGCAGCGGTCGGCCTGCCACGATTGGCCGAATGCTGTCTGTGACATCAGCAAAGGTTTTCTCATCGACGGATATAAGACTAATGTGATAACTTCAAATTGGACGGTGTTGGCAGTGTTGGTTTTAGAGCGCATTGATTTCAAGCCTCCACCATGCTTTTTACAAACATCATCCAACTTGTTTTTCGCAAAGTAATTACGTCAGGGGCCGGGGGGAAACCATAGGAGCAGCGACGTAGCTTTTAGACTTTCCATTTCCAGTCATGGTGCACGGCGTCGTGCGTATAGCTTTACTCATGCAAGATGACAGCCCAAAATATAACGGCACATTCTAAGTGTGCATGTGCAGCCCCGGGTTTTCTTCACCTTTTGTGTATTTAACTTCTATTTCATACTGAAGTGTTGTTTGCTGTCAGATCAAACAGGAGATATTATTCAAGTTCATCGTTTGCTGAGAAATGGAGCTTGCGCCGGAGTGCATTTAGCAGAAACAGGAGCTTACGCAAACCCAGGCGGAATAAGGAGTTAGATATTGATACCTGTGCCCTTTCTTCAGGCACACAGGCAAACTTCTTCGCAAAAGGTGTGACCAGCGACTGGGTCCAGACTGATGGTAGCGGTGACCCAGCCATCAGTGCCAGCACATCGATCCCAGTCCCCAGCGCTTCAGATGACGATGACAGCGACGAGGAGGAGGAGGAGGAGGACGATGACGAGGACAAGGATCCCACGTACGAGCCGTTCATCAAAGAAAGCTGTGTTGGGTAAGATTATGCTTGCTCCTTCGCTTGAAACAGACATTATAGGAACATGGAAGTTCTTAAAGGGACACTGACAGGGTATTTATGCCTGGGAAGGTTTTTATTTGTCGATGGCAAATTAGACCCCAACTACCCCGAACACAATTTGTTCGAAATTCTCGAAATTCGATTTTCTTCCGACCGAAAACTGCCTATCGAGAACTGGCCGGTTTGAGTCGTGCTCACTCTCTTTTCCAATGTGATGTGTCGTTTTCTATAGTTTAGACACAACCACAAAATATAATCAAAGTCGTTGGTCATCGAAAGCACACACTAAATACTAAAAAAAGACAAAAATATGATATCTATTTTTTGTGACTTATAAAAAACAACAAATGCGTCGATTGAAAAAAAAAAGTGGCACAGCCTTGTGATTTCTTTTAAGTTTCTCCTCCTCTATAGCTATTCTTCCTCCCCAGTTTGGTTTCGGTTTTGAGCTGTTTTTTTTTTTTTACTTTATTAAAAATATATGTGACGCCGTACCAAAATATTGATTCGGTAGTCTTCTGACACCATAATCGATCGCCTGGCAAAACATAAATAAAATTTGTTGGGGTGTGTCAGTGTCCCTTTAATTTATCATTTGAAAACTACAGTAGCTACAAAATAAAACATCTAAAATTGGGCCACAGCAAAAGAAAATTTGGGAAGTGTGCCGCAACTGAAATGAACATGCATCCGCCGTGGTCGGAGGCACAAAATCTGTCTAAACTGACAAGCAGAGATTTCTGAAACTATTTGCTCCAATTGAGGACTATTTTTGTCAAAGCCGTTCTTATTTAGACAATTGTCGGATACCCTGTCTTTCTGGAGTGAGTGAAGTCACTGACATTGAAGGGCAGGGACATGAGAGTTTGGTCAGTCAGTACCCACTACGATAGTCAATATCTATTTGTTCTGTTCAGATTCAAGTGGTATGATCATGTTTGAAACCACTGGTGGTTATAGGATGACCCTTGTTAAAAAGCAAAAGCCAATCGCCTTCGTTGTGGTGAATGCTTATATTGTTTTTGTCACACAGAGAAGGGTAGCAATATAAAAAGGAAGTAAAACGCTACGGGTAATTACACAGAGTACACTGCCAGTTTCTAGCATTGCCGCATTATGGTTAGCATGAAGCATAATAATTTATAAGGGTGCCCACAAATTGTAAATTAAATTTAAAACTCGTTCTAGTATTGTGAGCCGAGAAAAAATTCCAGCCCTTATAGTATGTGTTTTTTTGTGTCCATTCATTCACACAACCCCAAGCAATTAGTTTTCACCGATAATCACTGTTCAAAGCATCTACTTACAGTATATAGCTGAGATGCAAATTTTTTTACAAATTAGATTAACAATCATAAGTAGACAAACTTTTCCTATAAATAGACACCAAAAAAAGTATGCAGTGTCAATGTAAGGCAAGAATGTTCTGTTTTTTGTTGATAAGCTGAGCACAGAAATGAGTGTCAAACACTAAATATTCACAACTTTTACAGGAAGGACACCTTCACAAGTGCAGAACCTGGGTACCAGGAGCGGAAGTTCTTGGTATTCGAGAGTTGCCTCGAGCAGCTGTTTTCTGTATGCAAGACTTGCTACAGCCCTTGCGACGTCTCCATGAAGGGGGTTGGTACTCTGCTCGTGGTACGGACCTCTTGCCCTGCAGGGCACACGAACCGCTGGGACAGCCAACCGTACATCAACGGCAAGGGGGCGGGGAACCTGCTCCTCACATCTCTCGTGCTCTTCACGGGTGCCTCCCCAACCAGAACGCTGCGCCTGTTCCAGTTGATGAACATCCAGGTCTTCTCAAAAAAGACCTACTTCAACTACCAGCGAGCAATTTTGGTCCCAGCTGTTGAAGAGGTGAATATGATGCCATTTCTTTCATTATCTCACATGTTTTTTTCCCCCGATGCAGTGTTTCACTGCACTTTTTATGTCATTATCGCACATTTTAGTATCAATTTTCACAGGTGTGGAGAGACGAGCAAGAGAAGCTGATGGAAGAGCTCCGTGACCAGCCCCTCGACCTCGCTGGTGATGGGAGGTGTGACTCTCCTGGCTTTAGTGCCAAATACCTAACGTATTCCCTGCACGTGCCCTCTGTCAACAAGATCCTGCACTTTGAGCAAATTCAGGTTGGAGAGGTGAGGAATGATTACTACCACCTCCTTACAGTAGCTTCGTAATCAGATGCATATTGAAGCCTTCAGCTACACCTAGTTATTTATACTGACACATTTTGCGGCCGAGCAATATCATTCAGTGCTCTTGTGGAAGAAACAGAGCTCCATGGCTTTTGATCAATCACTGTGATTATAAAAAATGCTCGCTGGGGTCTGTAGTCCAGGTTTATCTTAAATAGTTACAATTTCATGTCTTGTATTATGGTCATCCTGCAGTCTCCTGCACACCTATCCTATCCTTTGAATCAATTTCTACACCTTTGCCTATAGACCAACACGCAGCCCTGACATCACGCAGCTGCGGTGGCGCTGTCGACGGCACTGCGCATGTGCAAACGCTTTACTTCACGCAAATTTTGTTTCTGCATACACACTGTGCCCACACCTGGTGTCGGCCAACACAGGCTTGTTTGTAAACAACGTGTAGGTCTATAAATATCAGAAGGAAATTTAGCAGGTCTATCTGAACCACTGTCTTACTAACATGACAATGGTCTAAAGTTGGAGCCAAGCTGTGAAATGAGATATCTGTCCAAAGCTAGATGTCAGAAGGTATTTTATTTAGAAAGCAAATAGTTCAGAAAATGTGAGGCGGCAGAATACTTGAATATGTAAAATATATGTGATAATCATTGCAGAAACTGAAAAACTACTTGCGCCACTTTACGGAAACTTTGCAGTGCGAAGCGGTGCGCTGCAGCGGGCACATGGAAAAGGAAGGTCTTGTGCGGTCCCTTGCTTTCACAAGGGACAACCAGCTCACTGTGCAGTCCCTGGCCACCGACAGGCACCGTTCCATCGGGAAACACATGCGGGAAAAAGAACCGGCCATCCTGCACTACTTCGACGTATGGCACGTCTCAAAAAGTAAATATCACATGTTATGATCCTCTTCAACTTCGCCAGTTTACGCTGCTTGCCAAATTGGCGAAAGCTAGGCTCGAGCAATGTTCCGCTTGACTCGATTTGAGCAACGTTTCGCTTGTTGACAGAAAGACAAGTTTGTCAGCAAGTGTGAATGTAAAACACAAGAGACCTTTCTAACAAGGTGTCCTTGGTATGTCGGCGACTACTGTTTGTCTAGAATAACTATAGGCATTTACATTTTGTTGTGATGATATATATTTTTTTCATTGTAGGGCTGTACAAAAGAAAAGCTGAAGTGGTTTTAAATTTCAGAGAAAGCACTACTATATTCATATTTACTTTACATTTAGAATTGTAATTATTCTTTATATCGTCATTTAAGGCTTGCTTTACGAACAGATTGTGTTCAGAATAGGGTAAAAATTATGCAGCGATACCAATCTTCACCTGCGCCCTTTTCTCTCATATTGCTTGCCTCTGTTCTGGCATGGCAGTTGGTAATGAAAGTCGAAATGAAATAATAAACTTAAATTAAAGTCGAATGATCTGAGGCATCTCTCACAAAGAGCGCCAATATGCGTTCTGTGTAAGGTGGTGAATGTTTTCTTGTAGACCGGATATTGGAAAAAGACAGACTACAGCTGATTTTGTGCACTCGTCAATTTGCAGGCGTCAAGAAGAACCTCAATGCTGCAGGCAAGAGAAGGACTGCAGGTCGATTGCTGACTCGGCCCAACCAGCAGTGAACCACTTGTATTGGTGTGCCGCAGCTAGCCAGGGCAACGCTGAACTTCTCGTGGATGCCTGGTGCAGCATGACCAGGCACGTGGTCAACATCCACACAGACCACCCTGGCATCTACACCACATGCTTCCACAACCCCATCGAAGAAGGCGAATGGCTGGTGCCAGGTGAATAAGTGTTTCACATATCTCTCAGTGTTCTACAGAGTGTAAATGGCAAAGGAGATGGCCTTTAAGAAGTATAATACGATAATATTTACAAAGATTTTCAGGTGAACATACAAAACCTGAATCAACTAAATTTTTCCACAGCAAACCTTGGTCGTGTTTTTTCTTTTTGTTCTAGACACGCCTGCGCATGCCCGGTTCGTTGACGTGGTGACGAGCAAGTCCTTGCTCAAGGACCTACGCCAACTGTCTCCACACACCCAGACGTACGCTTTGGAATCTTTCCATAGCGTGCTGAATGGTTTTGCACCAAAGTGGGCTGCATTTCGCCCAAAAGGCATGCTTGCCAGGTATGTAAATGAATGAATTATCCAGAAAAGAATTCCGAGGTGTTGCTCCATAGCAAAATATGGAAGTTCCATCTATGTGTGTGACATGCATTTTGGTGCACTGCTTGTCATTTTAAAATAAAATTTCTAAAACTCCATTTTCTTTTGTTGTGAAGTGACCCATAAGGATCACTAAACTCTCACTATTTGACATTATATTTTAGTGCCTTGTATGCTATAACATACTGCCAGTTCACAACTGTAGCTGTTAGCAGATAGAACAAAGTATAAAATGATTCAATGCTACAGAAAGCTGGCGGAACAAAGATTCCCATGGGACTAGCAATCCTCATTGCTGGGGTAAACCTAAAAATGCACAGGTTGTGAAGTGCTGACAAAGGCAGCGAGCAGGCACACACCACTTTTGGGATCTGCTCCATACCTTGTTGGATCACATTTTCTATTGCAGGACCCGCATAGCTGCGCTCCACTATAACGAAAATGGCAACCGGGAGTAGGCCACCACCCAAACTGGTCAGAAGCAGTGGAAGCTGAAGTCCCCGAAAGCCAGGAAAGGGCACCATGCTGCTCATCCCGAGAAAACGAAGGCCACATATGGTAATCTAAAAAAAAACATTTCTACCTTATGCTTACAAGTTAATGCCAACATTATCAGATCAGTTTCCGTACAAAGTGACTAGCTAATATGTACACTTTGTAAATAATATTTAGCGCACTAATCATTTTGATGTAGTATATACTCATGTATAAACCACTTTTTTTTTTATTCCGCACGGGTGCGGGATATTTATATTTGTTCTTGAATTTTTTCATCACCAAAGGGGGGGGGGGGGGGGTGCGGGTTACGCACGAGGATGGCTTATACATGAGTACGGTATTTACTGTGCGAGTATCTAAATTAATGTTTTATTAGATGAACCATGACAGGCAGCTGAGAACCAGATATTCCTTTTCTCGTTCATGCATTTGTCTTACTGAGGCATACTCGTGCATTTTCTGTGATGTACAATTTTCACTTCTGTATTGGTTTCAAGGTTGTTTTTTTTTTTTCGTTTTTTCAACTTCACCATTTTTGTGGGTTGGAATCTTTGTGTTGTTCTTAGGAAGACTAAATTAGTTATCTATGCACAAATGATACACATTTATTTTTATCATTTTTTAATTGATAACTCTGATTATTCTTTGAAGAAAAAAAAATGGATAGCTGAGGAGGGAAAGAGATGTCAGCCTTGCAAACTTCTTTTTGCAGACAGCAGGGCATGTAAACAAAAAAAATACTGATGCCTGTTACGGTTTATCATTGTAAAGAATATTCTGAACACAAATTACCCTAAGCGCGAACACTGTTTCTTGGTCCTGCCTTTTTTGCATTGTAACATTGTTATCTAAGTGCTACCATTGGAAAAATGCTTAATGTTAAAATTTGATTCTGCAGGCTACGTCACCAAGCTCCTGGCTCAGGCTGTGGTGGTCTGTGAGGAGATGGGGTCTCTGAGACAAGCCTTTGAGCTCGATGCGGAGAAGCCAGACCCGCCCTGCCTGAACCAGAGCACCGACAGGCCACCGAAGGAAGACCTGGTGGCAGCGAGGGTCAGCCGGTTCGCAAGAAGACCACCGGGTGCACTTCTCCCACACCAGACGCAGTCCCCGTAAGGCTCGGGATGCCCAATCTTTCGAGCTCCGACAGGGTGCAGGGTTTGTGAGACGACAGCTCTATGTGCATTCCTGTGAGGTGCATGAGCATCAGTCTTTCCCCACCCCCCCCAGGAGCAGACATAAAATTCCTTCCTCCTTACATGGAGTCACGCAAAGCCCCGGTGGGCACCCTTCTCGTTGGGATCTTGACACCGCAGTTGTTATCGCAGCTGTCTTGTTTTCTCCTTCTTTGGAAGGCGCTGCGACTCTCGAGTCTGAACATGTGGATGCGCTTCCTTGAGATTAGGGCGTAGTTTGTCGACCTTTCCTGGACGAGGCAAGGGTATCTGGTGGTGGCTGTAGAACATGCAGAGCCAATATAGTGTGTTGTTGGCTTGGTACCGGTTCCCTGCTCATGTCACCGGATGAAGGGTTCTCAATTATAGGAGACAAGAGTGCAAAGGACAAGTAGAAAAAAAAAGGACGGGACAAGGCGCTGATGAAGGTTTCTCTGTCTGGTACTTCTGTGTACCGGGCTTAATGTGATCCAGTTTTTGACAAACCGCTCCGTTCTTGCACTTTATCATCCAAGACCCGTGTCCTAATCCCTTCGTTCTTGTTCTCTCCATCCAAGCAGGGTTTCCCTTGAAGTTGCAGGCGAGAATGGATTGCGCTACGGCAACTCCTCTCAATGACTTCTCTGCACGGCAGTCGGACGCCATTCTTTCAGTCTCATGGGGCTGTAGGCGTATGAGCGCGACTGCTGTCTTGCCTGTCGAGGTGGAGACTGTTGTGTGCTGTTTAGCAGGAATCTTACCAACCAGCATGAAAACGTGCCGGTCTGGTTTTTCGCCAATGCCTGCTTCGTTTCCAAAACCATTCTTTCTGCAGAAGTGTAGTAAGTTGGGCGAGTTGGTATGATGACATGATGAACAGAACAGCGCACACAAAGACAAGGAGCATGCTGCATACTTCTGTCCTTGTCTTTGTGTGCGCTGTTCTGTTCATCATGTCATTCTTTCTGCTTGTCCACTTTTAACGGGATGGTACGGGGCACTTGTAATATATGTGACCCCATTTCTTTTGAGGAAGGCTTTGACATATGACGAAACCAAGGACGGTCCTACGTCACAATCATTTCAGGGATGCGAAAAGGTTCCCCAATTCCTCATTGAGTGTGACTGACTGTACGTTGAGCATGCTGCATACTTCTAACCATTTGCTGTACGCGTCGACAACAAGTGGTAGCATCTTTCCTTCCATGGGGCTGGCGAAGTCGGCGAGAATTGTGTGCCAAAGTTTCGTCGCGCGGTTCCAGTCGGGGAAGGGCACCTTGGTTGGTGCCTTCTAGAGCTGCCGACAAGTTACATAGCTTTTAGCAAGTCTTTCAACGTCACTGTCGACACCGGGCCACGGAAAATAACCCCATGCATGTGCCTTCATGGCTACTACTCCTCTGTGACCTGTATGTGCCAGGTCGAGCACTTCCTTCCGGGCCTTTGTGAGAATGACCACTCTGGAGCCTTTGATGAGACAGTTTTCTTGCACAGAAAGCTCTGTTCCGAGTTTGCAATACCGTGAGAATTGTTGCTTTGGCAGTTTATGTAGTTGTCCCCATGAAACAACTGCTAACTCCCGCGACAATACTGGATTGTGTCAGGTCATTTCTGCGAGTTGACGTGGCGACAGTTTGAATCTTGGTGTGTAGGCTAACATGAGAATGTCTGCCGGGGAACAGGGCTCGTAGACCTGTGCCAGAAGCGGCAGCCTGCTGAGTGAAGAGAATAGGCTGGTGATCTGTTGTAACGGGCACTTGTCGGCCAGCAATGTACTGATGAAAATGACTTAGGTCGAAAATTACGGTCAAGCAACTGTCGAGCTGAAAGTAACCTTTTTTGCAGGCCCCAGGGCTAGCATTGCGAAAGCTATGGGAGCCTCTCTGCCAACTTCATTTTCCTGGGCAAGCGTGGCATTGATTCCATACAGTGACACATCTGCCGACAGAACAAGTGGCTTTGTCTCATCGTAACGGGCGAGCTTGTACAGCTCTGCGGCAACAGTCGCTCTAGTTTCCAAGAAACGGTCGTAGAATGCGAGAAGCTCGAGGAAAGCTGGAAGAGCTGTCTTGTTGGTTAGTTTGGGTGCCTGAAGGATAGCTTGCACCTTTTCAGTGGTGTGTGACCATTAGCATCAATTCTGAGTCTTAGAAACTCAACCGGCTGTTTGCCAAAGCGGCACTTTTCTTCCTTGAGGCACAGACATGCCTTGCTCAGCCTTGTTAGAACCTGGTTTAGACGTTTTGCATGCTCAAGGGCATCTTTCCCGCTTGCAATGATGTCTTCAAGGTAAACACTCACCCCAGGGATTCCGGCCAGTGTGGTAGCCATCATGCGCTGGAAGATGGCCGGTGCAACGTAAGTTCCAAACGGAAGCTGTTTCACCTTGAACAGTCCCTTGGTGGTGTTGACAGTTACGACAGCAGCAGTTTCGTCGTCAAGTTCAGACGCAAACTTGCACAGAGCCTAGAACACATGGATCTTCTCTCGACCTGGTTTTTTTGACAACTCCGGGGAATGTTTTGGCCGCATTCGGTTGTATTCCACTTCGCTAATCAAAGAGCAGGCTGCACCGGTGTAGACTTCGAATCGTAGAGGGACTCCCCTACAATTTAAGACACACCTATCGTCCACTTGCTACGTGCAATTTGTAGGGGGACTCCATGATCGACGTGTCCAAAAGAGGTATGTTAACACTGTGCGTGCCTTGCTTGGCATTGGGATGCAATTCTTTGTTGTCCTCTTTCCGCCTGCCTTTTCAATGTAGCCCTTCTTGAAGCGGTATCAGCATTTGGCTGTCTTGACCTTGCAGGTTGAAACCTCGTGCCAGTTGTCACTATTACTCTTTCTGCACTGTACTTTCTGCAGTGGATGCACTTTCTGCTTGTAGCAATCGGTGTGGAGTGAAGCCTAACCCTATAGGCCACCCCAAGGAACATGGCAGAGACTTTGGGAAACTGAAAACGAAGAAAGCTTTATATACAATACTTACACCTGGTAGCTTGACGGAGTCCAACTTGACGCCCTCTGTCGAGTTCCACCGCAGAGTTTCTTTGTATCACTGCACAAAATCTCCCAGTTGCTTCCCGACGTTTCGGCCTTGAAAATGCAGCTCTTGGCGCACCCACTGTCTCACCCAATCGCTGTTGTCTAGCTGAATGAAGACTCGGCTTCTTGTCCGAAGCCTAGACTCCCTTCTCATCTCGACGGCGCTCTTCCACGAAGTTGATGGCGCCGTGATGAAACAAAGACGTAGCTCTTCCACGGCAGTGCCTCGTCAACGTCTTCACCTGAGTCCCTGCTCCGCCTCCTGCAGTTTGGAGAGCGTCGCGGTGACTCATCTCTCCACCACCAGATGAATGCCGCTACCACGAAGTCCAATGATTATATCATATTCAGGAAGCGAGTGCCAAGCCTGGAGAACATGCGGACAACAAATGGCTTCTTCCCTTCGTAGAGATCACTCCCTCTTCCCTCTCCGCCCTGCGGCACTTGTTCATAAGACAGAGCAGCCGGCAGGAGAAAGAGTTCACCGCGGGAGAGGAGGGTTCATAGTAACATTGTGTATTGATGAAATTCAGCGGCGAGGCTGCTGCTCCTTCTGAAAGCAGCGTCTTGCATAACATTCATCCGGCACCTGACGCTAGCAGTAGCAAGGTACAAAGGCGCCGCTTTCCCTTCGACCTCCCCCAAGTCGACACGTGCGCTCGGCAATCTACGCCAGCCGAGGCCGCTATGCACGGGGAATTCCCCCTCCGTTCTCCTTTTTTCAAGGCTGCTGTTGACATCAGTTGGCCTCGACGCTT